TCGCTTTTTTTTTTTTTTTTTTTTTTTTTTTTTTTTTTTTTTTTTTTTTTTTTTGAGATAGGGTCTCACTATGTAGTTGAGACTGACCTGGAACTCACTATGTAGCCCAGGCTGGTCTCGAACTCACAACAATCCTCCTACCTCAGCCTCCCGAGTGCTGGGATTACAGGCATGCACCACCACGGCAGGCCACACTTTTTTCATTTCTAATTGCATTATGATGGATATTTTCTTTTCTACTTTTTAAAGTTTGGCAAGGGTTTGTATCAACTCTTTGATTCACTGATTATTTTGTGTCAGTTTCATGAATTTCTGCTCTGTTGTTTTTTTTGTGTGTGGGTGGTGGTGGTCTTTTTCTCAGGTCATCAGGAGCATCATTAGGTTATTTATTTGGGTTCACTTTTTCTTTTTTTTAACCTGGGTTTGAACTTGGGTCCTTGCACTTGCCAGGCAGGCAGCAGCACCACTGAGCTAAATCCCTGGCCCTGTTCATTCTTTTTCTGAAATGGGTATTGGCAGCTGTAAAATTTCTTCTTGGGACTGCTTTCACTGTACCCCATAAATTCTAGTTATACTGCTATTATTTGATTCTAGGAACTGTCTAACTTTATTTCTTCTGTGACCCCTGATCATTCAAGAGTGTGATCTCTGTGTTTGCATATTTTTGTGGTTTGTCATGGATTTCTAGTTTTATTAAACTACAATCTGATAATATGCATGCCGCAATATTCATGGAATATTTTCTATTTATGTACACATGCTTTACGAGTTAGTATGCTGTCTATTTTGGAAAAAGTTTCATGTGCTTCTGAGAAGAATGTGAATTCGGTAGTGGTTAGGTGCACAGCCTGTAGATACTGTTTTCCCAAAAATAAGACACAACCAGTGTCGTGAGCCGGCGACGCAGAGCACTGTCCAGCAGTGCCTCAAACCTGAAAGAGGAGCGGGGTGGAGATGGGGTACAGAGAAAGGAAGGACGCCAAGACAAGAGTCTGATCAAGGCAACGTTTATTGCCGGCAAGCATCAGCCTTTTAAAGCAAAAAAACCACAAACTATTATGGGATGGGGTTACCATAGTAAATGAAAGTTCACACAGGAAAAGAGCAAACAGGCTCAACGGAAACAACCACCGTGGGTAGTAGTAACCCAGACAACCACACATCTGAAGGTCAGAGACAAGAAACTGCAACTTTCAGGAATTCCACAAAGGAAATGCACCACCTGCTAAACTGGAGAAACTTAACAAACATGGAGTTACTAAAGTTAACAATACTTAACTACTAATACTCATGATTCCCACAAACCAGAAATAAGAGATATTAAGAGATTAGGTAGAATTTTAAAAGTACACATTCAAAGAAATAGAATGAGGGCTCTCAAGAGAGAGGCACCTTGTACCCTATAGCTGGGTATATTTATGTGGGTGGAAATCTGTGAGACTTGTGACTCTATGGAAAGATGGGATTCAATTTACAGATGATAGTCAGTGGCCCTTTCTACAGGGAAAGGGTGGTGGCTGACTCATACATGAAAAGCCATCACAGATGACAGAGCTGTAGCCTTCCATGAGGGAAAGGCCCATTTATAAGGAAAAGGGAATGGCTAAGGTCCATTTACAGGTTAAAAAGAAATGGCCCAGGCTTTCTCTAGTTTTAAGGACCTTAGGAATTTTTGACTCAGTTTGTGTCCTGAAGCTGTAGTTTTTATTAAAAATACAATTTTTAAAATATTATTTTCCTTGTCTCCTTTCTATCTTCTTTCTATCCTACCTTAGATATGATTATACAAATTCACAAACATACTAAGACCCACTGAATTGTACATTTTTAAAGCATTTATTTATACTGCATGTGAGCTATTTCTTGAAGGGCAGGTGACAGTGAGGAAAAGAGAGGAAGAAGGTAGGTTCCCTCACCCTCAAACCTCTTCACCAAGGTAACTAATGTTACTTGTTTCTTGGGTTCCATTCCTGAAAGAGACTACATATATATATTTGTGGGTCTATATGTCCTTGTTCAAAACAGAAATATGAGCATAGCATCTGAAACATTGCTCTAAATTTTTTTCCTCTTTAAACTGTAATTTCAATTTCTTTTTTATAACTTGTGGATTATTCCATTTCAGTATATGTAAGTATTCTTTATTCATTTTTATTTTCAGATATTCTATAATTTAGTAGGCTCATTTTATGCTGTTACACAAAGTCTTTGTAAATAGGGAAGGGTGAAGCAGGTGAAGGGAGGGCAGGGGTATAGGGAAAAAACAAGAACCAAGACATATATATAAAGGTACAATGATAAATGTAACTGTATTGTTTGCTTTAAATAAAGTGATAAATGTAATGGGGAAAAATTTTATCCTGTTAAAAATAATTTAATTTCCTTGTATTTATCTCCTGTACAAGTGGAAAAATTTTTTAAAAATAAGAATTACAGTTTGAAATGTGCTGTTCTTATTTTGATAAACTACCATTGACTTAATATCTCTCATTAGTTTTTTTTCCTAATTTTCTAGTATGCATTAAAAAATTATGGGATCACTGGGTGTGATGGTGCATGCCTGTAATCCCAGCACTCAGGAGGCTGAGGCAGGAGGATTGCTGTGAGTTTGAGACCAACCTGGGATACATAATGAGTCCAAGGCTAGCCTGGACTCCATAATAAAAATGAACAAACAAACAAAAATCAAATATTATATCATCGTATATATTTCATTAAATAAATGCTTATTTCTTATACTCTGTATTTCAGTTATTGGTTTCTTCAGTTTTTAATTATTTTTATTAGTATATGTTTGCAGTACATAATTATTATATTTCATGTGGATTTGGTACATGTATACAACACATCTTAATTCTTTTTTCACTCCCTTACTTTCCTCTTTCCTAGCTCCTTCCATGTCTTCTGGACGGGGGTTGATATGAAAGTTTAGGAGACCTAATAGTGACATCTGCTGGGAAAATGTCAAAATAAAATAAGAATTTAAAACCCGAGCAGATTCCTGTTTCTATTCATCAGAAAGATTTGTTATCTTACTATGAGTTAAGCTTATAATAAGTAAATTCAATAAAGTTTATAGGAGGCTCTTTGATGTTCTAACAAAATATATTTTCTTTTTTTCAGGATAAAGTCATCTTGGGAACTGATTACCCTTTTCCACTAGGTGAGTTGGAACCTGGGAAGTTAATAGAGTCTATGGAAGAATTTGATGAAGAAACAAAGGTATATTGTATGTTTTATTTCATGGTCTTTTTTGAGTTGTCCTGCCCATAATTGCATTTAGTTTCAGAACACTTTAACACACAGTAACAAAGAATAAATCATTGCACTTTAACATTCCTAAAGCTATTTCTCTATCTTCAGAAATAGCTAAGCCTGCAGCAATGGGAAAATTTTTAGAACTTTCAATGATACCAACAGCTTGCTGCTGCATGTGTAACATAGGTTCATCACCACTGATAAAGTATTAAAAGATAAAGGATAGCTGGTTGTGGTGGCTGACGCTTGTAATCCCAGCATCCGGGAGGCTAAGGCAGGAGGACTACAGGGAGTTCAATACCAGGCTAGACTACACAGTGAATTCAAAGCCAGCCTGGACTATATAGTGAGACCTTATCTCAAAAAACCAAAAATAAATAAATAAATAAAAAAGACAAAGGAAGGCTGGGGATGTAGCTCAGTGGCAGCATGCCTGCCTGGCAAGCTCAAGGTCCTGAGTTCAATTCCCCATACCAAAGGAAAAGAAAGAAAGAG